TTCTCATTATTAGCTATTAATTACATTCTGGAATGCTTTATTTATATAAATAAAAGCCATAAGTTGAAATGAGGGCTCAGAATCACTTTTCTGTTGTTCACATCTTTCCAGTTTTTTAATTTATTTTTATTTATTTGTTTCTTAAGGTTTGTGCAATAGGGAGTGTGTACTCATTGGAGAGACAGAGACAATGAGATGGACAATAAGAAATCTCCCCCCTGGGGAGATGGCTGTGCTGTAGTCACTTCTTCTCCAGTCTCCTCTTGGGATTTTGGGCACGCATGCACATGTGCCTGGTGTGTTTTAGGCTGCCAGATCTGGGACTTGAACCACAGTCAGCCATGTGGGAGGCCCCTATGCCACCTGCTGGCCCCTCCAGTTTTTTATTTCCTTTTTTTCCTATCAAAATTCCCAAATGTGGAGAAATTAGAATAAACTTATGAGATGAGTGAAATGATATAAAATATACTCACAAGAAGATGATTTGGTAGCTAAATATCATTTTATTTACTAATATTTAAAATTTTCTAGTATATACCAAAACTGTTAGGAGATTTTAAATGTAGAAACTAAGCTGGCACACATGAAACAGAACAGTTAAAGATGGTATCAAATTTCGTTGTAAATTGAGTCATAAACATTTAAGTCTTATAGGAATGGGGGTGGGGGTAGTCAGAGTTAGCCGCCCTGCTAGCTCCAGTGTTTATGGTGGGCTTTCCCGCTAAGAACGAGCAGGCTATGGGACAGGTAATAGGGCAGGGAGTGAGGGGGTGGTGTGTGGATGGTACAGTGCAGCAACTGGTCAACTTGGAGTTGAAATTGCTGTTCAAACTAGGTGCAATGTGTGAGGACAGTGGGACCACTGGCTCAAAGGCCAGACTTGGTACTTCAGCCTTGATTGATGTTCTCCTGTTCAATTTTTTGAGAAGATGGGGGTCCATGTTGGAGATTTAAGGAAACCCCTGGAGTCAGGTGGGCTGGGCCTGTCCTCCACCTTTTCTACTTAGATCCTAAGGGCTCAGTGTTCTTCCTTTCTCTTCAGTGCTGGCACCATCCCTTCTGTTTTTCTCGTCTGGTGACTCTCCCAACCCCGTATTTTCTCTTTCAGCGGCCAGCTGTAAAAAGAACAAGTACTCAGGTTCTCTTCCAATAGCACTTCCTACAACTTGTCATTTCCTCAGCCTACGCTGTCAGAATCACATTTGTTTTCCCCACTTCATAGGTTTCTACCAGGGCCTTGGTGACTTCCATGTGACTGATTCTGTGATCAGTCCTCATCCAGCATGAATCTGAGCAACATCAAGCATGGCCAACCACTTCGTTCATGGAACGCATTCTGTGTGGCTACAGGACAACACACTGGCCCCCTTTCCCTCCTGTCTGCCTGGCTGGTCCTTGTCCTTGGCTGGCTCCCCTTCTGCTTGGCTTACTAACCTTTACTCAGTCCTGGGATCGCATCTCTCCAGCTTCATTCTCTCCCCAAGTCATGCCATTCAGTTCATCATCTGACATCCCATCGATCACTCCTAAAGGTCTGCTGCCAACTTAGTCCTTGCTCAAGAGCAATAGGCTAATATACCTACCAGTGAACTCTCTATTCGGGTGTCTTATGGGCATTTCAAAACATGTCTAAAATGTAACCCCTGCTTCTTTCCCCTAACCTTCCCCTTCTTGATTCTTCCCATTTATAGTGAATGGCACCACTTTTCTACCAGCTAAAATCTAGACATTGACTTTGATTCTTTCCTTTCACTTAGTCAAAATCCGAACTGTCAACAGTTCTTTTCAGCTGTAACTCCAAAATGTATTCCAGATCTGACCATTTCTTCCCTCTTTCACCATGACCTCTGTAACCTAAACCTCCACCATGATCTCTGTAGCCGAAACCTCCACCATGCCTCCATGGTGCGGCTGCGATATCTTTCAGTATCTGTGTTTCCTGCTCTTGTTCTCTGCACAGCAGCCAGAGTGACCTTTGGATAACGTAAATCTGATCATGTCTCTGCTCTGCCAAAGAGACAGTGAGAGAAACCCTTTAGCACTGATGGAACGTGGTGATATTGGGCTTGCTGAGAGTCAGGAGGGGATTTTCCATAGGCTGCCTTCCTGGCCTTTTCAGCCTTATACTCAGACATGAAACATTAACAGCCTGATAGACGTGATTTTATCATATAATTAGCATACAAATAAAGTGATCCGCAAAAGGGAAGGATGTATTTTGATGAGGGGCATCAGGCAGGACATCAGAGAGACGTTAATGCTTGTGTGGGCTGTGAGGGATGAGTAGATTTTGTATAGGGAAGAGATTGGAGACCTCAGTGGTAGAGATTTTGGAGCAGTAGCCTGACGCGAAGGAGGTTAGGGAAATAGATAGGGAAGATAGGTAAGGGCTATTTTGAAAACTTCAGATGCTAGATTGAGTTTAGAGTTCGACTAAGGAAGCATTACTCAATCTGGAGAGCCTTACATCAAAACTGATTACTGGGAACCAGCAGTTAGCGTAATGGCTATGTCGCTGAATTCCCACGTAGTCGACTGTGGTTCGCATCCCGGACCTGGTGGCTTAAAACTCACACCGGGCGTGTGTGCATGTGTGCCCAAGATCCTGAGAGGAGAGTGGAGAAGAAGGGATTGCAGCATGACCATCTCCTCTGGGGGGTGATTTCTCGCTTTCTGTCTCTATGTCTCTCTCTGTCTGTCTGGCGAGCACACGCGCCCTATAGCGAAAACCTCTCCAAAAAAAAAAAAAAAAACAAAACAAAAAAAACCTCTCTAAGTATGTAGCCAGTAGATGGCATGGAGGTTAAGGTGTTGGATCCCATGTGGCTAACCTTGTGG